CGGTAATCAGTAGCTGTCCATATAGGAAACAATTAGTACTCTGTCAATTGAGTTTCTTTTCACAAGCTCGATCGCGTTGACGACGCCCAATTCTAGCGCATGCGTAAAAACTACATAATTTTAGGCACGGCTGCTTACGAAATGGCCAAATGCTCGTCTGCGTCGGCGAGTACCACAATGAACGAGTGCATTATCAGATCTTTAATCTAGGAAGCAACTAGTTCAGGATGATGTTCTCCTGGATTTCCGTGCTCCTGATGCTTTCTGTATCTGGTGGTATGTAGGCCTGATTTGTATTCAAATTTTACACATAATACATTTCTTCTTTTGTTTAATTTATAGGCCTATGAATTGGTACAAAACATAAACAAAATTCCTTGTTGCTGAAACAAAGGTTGTATTTTCAATTTAGGGATGATGCCACACAACTGAGAGTGTAAGTTAGGACTTAATGTAGAGAGGTTGTTGGTAATTTTACTAATTGATCTTTCCCATTTGTTCACACATGATTCAATAGTTCTGAATTATGTGGTTTTTCAGATTTGCTCACTGCCACAGATCACTGGCGGCGCCAGCAGGGGTCAAAGGGAAAATCACCCCTCCTCACGCCCGTAGGACGGGCGTGAGGAGGGGTGATTTTCTCTCCATGTAACGTTATTTTGCTTGCTAATGGTCGAGAAGCACAGTTTTGACCCATACTAAGCCAAAAAAAAGTCTACCCATGAACCCTATCTTGTATATTGTTTTGGACCATGACCGGAGCTCTAGTCGGTTAAGACCCCGTGCCGTACACCGGACTTGTCGGAACCGCTGTCGGTGAGGTATTTATCAATCAGAAGTGGAGAACTGGCATCAAACTTGTTGGTAGGACGCTATACACCTCTCTGCATATCAATTTTTTAAAATACTATGTTTAGGCCAACTTATTGAATATTTCATTGCATTTTTTTTGCTTTTTTGACGTTGTATTTTGTTCTCTACTCCATTACTCAATTTGAAATCGTTTTTATGGGAACCACGTGGAAATACGTAGTTGTTAATTTTTTATGGCTTATCCTATTAAGGGTTGTTTCTTGCACTTTTGCCTTTCTTATGTCCTGATCTTTTTAATGTTTTACATGATTAATGAATAAATTCAATGCAAACTATTAAAAATTGATTGGAAATTGAACGTGATAATATTGCCAAAATTGTTTGCCAATGTTCCAAAAGATAATGGCCCTTAATGTTGAGATTTTTTTTGGTCCCGAAGGTGTCCCGTTAATAGGGGTTCTGCTGTATTTAAGATTTAAAACTCAATTTATATAAATCAGTAAATGTAAATGTAGAAGAATAACCCATAACTTGCAGCGTTATTGTGCGTGGACCGTGACTACCTCAGTCGCCATAAAGAGGCGCTTCCGGCTACATTCACTTCATTCCACGACGACATAATGTCAAATGGAAATGGATTACCCACATACAAGAGTTACTGCAAAAATTTGATCTAATGAAGTATTTTAATTTAGAACAAGATAACTCCTGGCTATATTCATTTATTAAGAAAAACGCGTATGACAATGCTAAATTATGGTATGAAAGGGCAAAATCAAAATCAACCTTATCTGATTTGTCCAAAATGTTGTTGATCAGAAAATATATGAATTGTGAAATTGATAGGAATATTAACAAAGAACCTGTAAAGTTTAATTTTTTTCATTAAGCTTGATTGATTTCTTTATCCTATGCCTTATCAAATTCAATAGATTAGCCCAGTTTCTTAATTGTCCAGAGTCTCCAAAAGTGCATCCACCTATATTTGTAATATCAATCAATTAAATGTTCAAATGTAATACCGTATTTTATATTTATCAATTTAAATGCCAAAAATCATAATTATGCTACGAATGGCCACTATGTCAAGTGTTGTATACATTTATATAGGGTGATGTATGCAAATTAGGCTTCGGGTTTGACTTAAGGAATGACCTTCATTTTGATTGGTCGGGCCTAAGCAAACTTCCCGCCAAGCACCTAAGACTGTCAATACAAAAACCCTTGCATTGATATAATGCTTTTGCTATACAGTACTAGGAAGGACCGTATAATAAAGAATCGTGATGAAACCATTCCACACTGACGACTCCAAAACAATATCTCATCAGCGCTATGCTATTTTATTTGTATTTATTTTTTTCACTCAATTTCCAGGTAGACCTATTAATTTATATTTAATTGTTCCAAAGCCTACAAGCACATGCGTTACGCACGGTTAAGGCTCGATAGTAAAATACTAAGTAGTAGTAGGAGCCCAGGGCCTCTTTCCCCACCCCGAGAGCTTACGAGTTACGCAACTGGGTCCTGTTTATTTTAATACGGTACCGTATGCCATAATTGAAATTTACGGGACAATATATACAAAATTACACCGTTTCTGATATGTGTAAGTTGCAAACCATTATTCAGCATCGGAAGAGCTTTCCAACGATACCAAACACGAATACTTTTGGTGAGTTTATATACTTATTCTTATTTTATGCACATTTTAAGTATATTTTGCGGTTATTTTAAAACAAATAACACTTATTTTTGAATTATGTTCCATTCTGGCATGAGTGACAGTACCCCCCAACAAGAGCTCACGAGTTACGCAACTGTGTCCTGTTTATATTAATAATATTAATACGGATAATTGAATTTTTACGATTAACTGCAAAACATTATTCAGCATCGGAAGAGCTTTAAACGATACCAAACTACTTTTGGTGAGTTTATATACTTATTCTTATTTTATGTACATTTTAAGTATATTTTGCGGTTATTTAAAAAAAAAAAAAATATTTTTGGATTATGTTCCATTCTGGCTTGAGTGACAGTAGTTTTTATATGTCTAGTTTGTTGCCTGTCTAAAGATTAGGAGTTTAGACACCAAAATCATATCTGTAGCTTATTTAGTTCCAATATGCACATTTTAGATAAATGATAAAATTAGGATATCTGGCTATATTGACTGCTTCTAACATTCCACTCCCCCCTAACTTGATTTCTATACCTCTTTTTTTGATTATTTTCGTAGTCTACTAAAAATTACGTTATAATAACGATACAGTTTGGTGATAAAAACGTTATTTTGTAGAACCATGTGCGTACTTATAACCTAATTTCACAACGTCACAACGTTTGAATATTCTTACAACGTTGTGTGAACGTTATTTTGTGACATAACAAACCACAACGTTCGCGAACGTTATAAGAACGTTTTGTTTTTGTTATAATGATAACGAACCTCTAAATCAAAACTGGTCGGCATTAGAGTAGGCCTTGTAACTTTCGTTGCCTCTGATCTTTAAGCTATTTTATAGTAAATAACAACGGTTAATGTATCGGTTATTATTTATTATGTTGATATTTTACTGAAACCAGAGGATCCACTAATTAGTCTTAAATAAACAATCAATTTGAAAATGATCAAATAGATCGAAACGTTGAATCTCAAAATGTCTGTGTCTCTTTTCGGAGTTACTGTCTTTTTGTGATACTTTACTGCTTTAGTATGCCTAGGCCATAATTAATAACAATTAAATTCTTATAGGTATTTCAGGGGCGACAAAATGGCTCTGTAGATTTCAACAAAAATTGGCAAAATTTTACGTCTGGATTTGGTGATTTAAGTAGCGAATTTTGGCTGGGAAACAAGAAAATACACAATATTACGTCGTCAGCAAAGTATGAATTTCGGATAGACTTCAATAATAATAATAATAATAATAATAATAATAATAATAATAATAATAATAATAATAACATAATAATAATAATAATAATAATAATAATAATAATAGTAATAGTAATAGTAATAGTAATAGTAATAGTAATAGTAATAGTAATAGTAATAATAATAATAATAATAATAATAATAGAAGATGGATAAATATCAGCCCCTAGCATTTGAAATAAAGAGAATCCACAGAACCTCGAAAGTGACAGTGATACCTATCGTAATTGGTGCACTTGGAAGCATATCGAAGGAAGAAAAGATCCGGCATGAGAAGTTAGATTTACCTAACGTCATTGGAAGTGCACAGTTGTCGGCCATCCTTGGAACAGCTCACATATTGAGAAAAGTGCTGTGTCTCTAAGCTGCGGGAATTAGCCGAGACATTGCTCAAAAGACCCAGTAGAATATCATGAACTGGAGGTAATCGCATAATAATAATAATAATAATAATATTAATAATAATAATAGTAATAATAATAGTAATAGTAGTAATAATAATAATAATAATAATAAACAACAATAATAATAATAAGAACAACAACAATAAATAATAATAATAACAACAATAATAATAATAGGGCCTAATAATAATAATAATAATAATAATAATAACAAGAGCACTCAGTAGAGAGCATATCTCCGCCCATCTCCAATCTCTTTTTATTAAAAATCCCTCAAAAATATGTACTTACCAACCACCGACCACAATCTACTTAATCTTAAAATACACTAACACGAAAGTTTCATTTAGATAAGTTGATTAGTTATATCTAATTAGAGATATCTAATCTGTAACGTTTTGCTTTGAATGGTCCAAATATCGACACCAAAATATAAACACTTCATTTTCGAACGCCTTTTATTGTGTCGGTTGTACACCTGCTAATTCCTTCTTTTGGCATAACACATTGCACGTTTTACTCTTATAGCTGACAAAACAAAAATTCTTGCATATTCTTTAAATGGTCCTCATATCCACAGCCTACTTCGGATGGTGACGAAAATTGAAACACTTCTTAATTAAAACATGAAAAACTATTCTGCCAATTGTCATTTTTATACATGGGTCCATTTTCGAGATATTCAGGTCTGGGACTTTTTGGCTATAAGATGCACACCCGAATTCGGATCGTTACTAGACCTACACTTTATAATGTCTTCCTTGTAACTTGGTTAAAATTTAACGAAAGTTTCATTCATATCAGTTGACTACTTTTTGAAATATCTGGTCTGGAAGAACGTTTCCTTTTTATTGGTCCTCATATCCACACCCTATTCCAGGTCGTCACCAAAATTTAATCACCTCATCCTTGAGCCATACAAGGCCGTCGGAACCGTACCACTTTTTATCAAAAATAAGTTTTATCAAAAATAAGTAAAAATAAATAAATAAATATAGGCTAAAAGCTTAAAGGTCTTTGTAGCACAAGACCTTCAACCAGTATATTTCCAGAATAGATAGGCCTAAGTGAGTAGCACATAACATTATTATGCATTGAAATGTTTAAAATTTAGTGGC